TGTTTTTTTAATCTAACAAAAGTCTAAAAATAATGAAAATAATGAAAGTGGCCCCATTCTGTCTAATATTTAGGAAACAGGCAGTGTTGATCTCAGATGAGAAAGATGAAGCTCAGAGAGGTTGCCCAAAGACTGAACAACACCTTGCTAGCCTCCCTGACCCAGGAAGCTCAAGTACCAAAGCCCGTTCCTGCCACAACCCTTGTCCTTGAGATCCTGGGATGTTCTCCTGTACCCTCTGCCTCTCTCAGCTCACCTGAGAGCTGCAGCCTGGAAGCATCTGTGAGCCCCTCCTCTCCACTTCCCCATCTCCTGTTCAGTCTTGCCACCTTCCTTGTGGGAGGCTGTGGGTGGCTAGCATCCTGTGGCTAGCACCGGCTGCTCATGCACAGACCTAGGATGATGGCACTAGGGTAGCATCCCCACTGAGTAAGATGGTCCCTTATCTTTTTTGATGTGGGTACAGCTGAGAGAGACTTCAGGTGTCTTCTCCAGGAGAGGCCCCCAGATGAGTTTGTAGACCAGGATCCCATCTGCAGCTCCAGCTGGGAGGAAGAAGTGAGACTGCAACTCCCTGACTGCTCTTCATAAAGGACCATCTCCTTTGGGAGGGTCAGCATCAAGCCTGTAGCTTCCGTCTTCTAGAGACAGGCTGCATCCCCATCACACTCCTCAGGCCATTTGCAGGGACAAGCTGTGGTCAGGATGAGGTGGTGCAGGGACTAGACAGTAAGATGTCTCCCGTCCTCCTTTCCAGGGCCTTCTGAAAGTCAATCTACTAGTTATGCGCTGAATCATGTCTCCCCAAAATTCGTATTCTGAAGCTCTAATTCCCAATGTGATGATATTTAGAGATGGAGCCTTGGGAGGTAATTAGGTTTAGATGAGGTCATGTGGATGGGGCCTAATGATGGGATTAGTGCCTTTGTAAGAGAGGAGAGAGACCAGAGTTCTCTCTCTCTATGTGAGCACACATCAAGAAACAGCCATCTGCAAGCCAGGAAGAGAGCTCTCACCAGAACCCAGCACCTTGATCTTGGACTTTCACAACCTCCAGAACTGTGAGAAGATAAATTTCTTTTGCTCAAGCCTCCTGGCCTGTGGTGTTCTGTTATGGCAGCCCAAGCTGAGTGAGACACTTCTATGCAAGTGTGAGCTAACATCTAATCATGATAGTGGGGAGCATAAGGAGGAAAGACCAGAATGTGGCTGTGATTTAAGAACCAGGAGCCTATTCAATGGCACCATCCCTGTGTGGGCATCTCCCTGTCAGGAGAAGGGGTGTAAAGAACAGGAGGGTCACAGAGGCAAGCACCTCAACAAAACAGACTCAGAACACTTCCTCACGAAGCTGGTCTACCTGTGGCCAAGGCAGGTTCAGGGCTTTGAAGCAACATAATAGAGAGAAACCTCTGAAGTCCACCTGGCAGCTGTGGATGTGACCATTCGGTCCATTTGACAGCTGCAGTCCTCATTGGAATGGAATGCAATGTTTCTGGTTTTGACATTGGCCTCTGAGAACCACGCTAATGTGAGTCTGCCTTGCAGGATGGAGCCACATTGAGAGCTGATAAACTAGGTGTCGAGCCTCCAAGACTGAGGATGGGCCTGGACTGTGGCTCCTCTCCAAGGTGAATGGCAACCTCAGGACCCTCTAACTTTCTCCCATGGCCCCCTGTCTATTCCATTATCCGTCTTCTTCAAATGTCCCTTAATTAACCTAGAGCCTCCCTATCTCAAAAAAACAAATTAACGGAACAAAATTTAAAATTCTATTTCTCCATCTGTTTTTGGTTATCTACTTTTTTTCAAGACACTTTATAAATTTGACCTTGTCACCACTCCCTCCCCCAAAAATCTTGTCACACTTGGGATATTGAATGATGAGCACCATTTTCCATTCCCCCCTTACCATCAGTTTCCGTCTCAACGGATATTTTGCTAGAAGAAAATGAAGCAAACAGTTTTTCTCTCTCACCATCATTTTCATTATCCCAGCAACTGCCAAGCATGCGGGCAGAGTGGTTGATCAGTCCATTAGAAAAATGAGGATAGAAATCAAGAGAGGAAGTGCAAGCAAAAGTTGACACGTCTTTTAGGAAACAAACACAACCATTTTATTGCAGAATAATATCTTACAAATTATCAGCAGATTAGAATCAGAAAATGCTAGAACTAGGACTGAATTTAGAAATTGCCTGATCCACCTCCCTCATGTCATGATCGGGAAAATTGACAAAAACCAATGGAGAAGAAGAGAAAGGAGAGTAAGGAAGAATGAGAGAGAATAATTACATTGGAGCCTGCACTTGAAGCTACCTATTCCCATGTCAGAGTTTGTTGAATATTCTAAAGCACAACACGCAAGCAGAAAACTGCACAAAACAGGAACGCGCACCCCAATGAATTGTCACAGAATGAATGTGCACGCGTAACCACAACCTCAGGCAGAGAAAGTAAGCAATGGTGGCACTCCAGACACAGCCTCTCCATCAGCACTCACTCTCTCCGAAGGTGACCGCTCTCTCTTTTACGGTGTTAACATCCATATTTTAACATTAATAGTTTTCATCCCATTCATGCATTCCTAAAAACTGTATTTTAGTTTTGCCGTTTTGTACACTTTGTAATGGTGACATGAAATCCGTATTCTTTTGGCCTGTCTTTGCTCACTCAGTGTTTGTTTGTATTCATCTGTGTGATGGTGTTAGCTGTGGTTCATTAGTTTTTGTTGTTGAATAGAATTTCATGATATGGACATTCCACAGTTGATGATCTAACTTTTTGTTGATGGACACTTGAGTTATTTCCAGTTTCGGGCTATTTTGGATAATACTGGTGTAATTTTGTTTTATTAAGACTCTTGATGCACATGCTAAACCATAGCATGTGCGTATATTCAGGTTTTTATTGTCAAACAGATTTTACTGTGAAACAGACCAAGGTCTGATGGGAGCCAATGTCGACTCCTAGGCTAGTCATCAGAGAAATCAAAATAAAGATGCCTTTAAAAGATGCAGGAAGGTGATATAAATATTTGAGAAGCTGGAAAAGATCTAAACTTGTGTGGGATAGCAGGAAACAAGATGAGCAATCTTAAACTGAAAATTTTGACTAAAATATTTGAGAGAAAAGTTATTTCTTTTCAGTGTAGCTAAATATAGTTCTTGGTACCAGTTTGTCCCTCATAGACCAAGCATAAATGATTATACATGCTGGAATATAGTCATGTTGGCCTTGCATCATCGTGTGTAGGCCAATCTCTATAACTAATCAGCCTTGAATCACTCATTAAGTCCATTTTATTATGAAATTTCAGGACACGGTCTTATGTTTAGAAAAAAATCGGATAGATCCTGAGACAAGCATTTTAGAACTCAAATAGAGTCTCAGATCAGTATGAAATACATTTCTCTTCTGTCCCTTGCTTGAAACACTTTTTAAATAGGCAGTTGTCTAGGCAAGAAAACAGTCATGTGGATCTGGCAGCTCTGGAAATTTGAAAACCCTTGATGCTTTGAATCCAGAGGATTACCCTGGAGGCGAGCTGAAAGTTTGGCAGGAAATAAAACTACTTAAGAGTGGTTCTTAGACCATTAGCAAGCAAACAATAAGACAAGAAAGCATAGTGGATTCAGCGAACAGATTGCTTCCATGGCTTCTGGACATGTTGAGAACATGCCTCAGTCTGCAAAACTAAAGGAAAGTAATCGAGTGCCTCCTCAATGTGTGAGTTGAGGGGGATGTAACACACAGTTCCTCTTCTAAAGGAATGGACCATTACAAGGAGAAACCTCTACACAAGTTGCTGCTCTGTCGTACAGAAATTGATGCCATGTCACCCTCAAACAGTAGAAAGGGATGGCTTCAGGGGCAATATTCACCGGTGCTCAAAGACGGTGTGACCTTGGGCAAGGTGGTTAATCTTCATGACTTCCTGTTTTCCTCTGTTCAATGGATTAAAATGTCTTCCTTGCGTGGGAGTTGTGAGCAGTGAGGAGGGTTTATGGGGTGTTATCACATTCCCAGGCACCTTGCAGGAACTCAATCACTGGAATTGTCTTTGCATTTATTTAACAAGTAATTATTGAGCTCCTACTGTGTGCCAAGGGCAGATATTGGTGCAGAGGGTAGTGTAAACCAGGAAAAATCCCTCCTTCAAGGAACCAACATTCAGTGATTGTGAGGGGAAAAGAAAAAACCAACAACAAGCACTTCAAATACACAGTATTTTAGAAAAGAGTCAGTGTTGTGGGGGCAAATGAAGCAGGAAGTGGGGTGTGGTGCTCGGGTCCACTCCTGGCAGCCCCCTGAGCAGCCGTGGATGTGTGCCATTTGCCACATATGGGCTGAGGATACACCTCCTAGGCAGACCCAGCCGGTGACTTGGTGACTCGGCACAGCTTGTGACCTTGGGTCTGGTTACTTCTGAGCCATGTGGGACTCTTTGCATTCCAGCTCCCCACTGAGCCGGCTAAGACGGGCTTAGAGCGCACTGCGGCCTGGGGCTCTTCCCGCCTGGCCCTCTGCCTCCTTCTCCTTTCTCAGGTGTCAGACCAGCACCACGGCCAGAGGCTCTCCTGCACTCCTGCTCCCCACTCTTTATCTGTCACAGGTGTCCCCCTTACTCTTCTCACTCCATCTCAGGTCTGCTTCCTGACGACAGTCCCACAGGGGCCGGGTGTGTGAGCAGAAAGGGGACTACACAGGGACAGTGCTGGTGAGATATTTTCTGCGATCTCTGGGGCATCCCTGCCCCACCTGCACCTCTGCCCCATTTTCTTGCCTTGTTGTGGGGAAGAGGCTAGCCAACACAGACACTAACAATGCATGAAAAAGTATTCAGTTTTAAAGAGACAGTTGTTCCAACTATATTCCCTTATTCAAGTAAGTTTTGTAACCCAGGGAGTAAGACTAGCTCATAAACCCCAGTCTCCCCTTGTGCTACAGCATAATGTCAGGGTGAGGGACAGGAGGAAAATTCTCACAGCTCTCTTGACATCTGCTGCCTGGCGTGAAATGCAGACTCATAACCACTGCCAGCTGTGCTGTCACGAATTCACTGCTTTTCATTTAGAAAGTCCCATTGGTTATGACGGCGATCATGCTCTCCTGGCAGCCGCAGTGAAACTCTGCGAGCAGCTCAGGCAGTCTATTAATTCTTTGAAGGCCATTCCACTGACTGGTTGGAGGCCAACTGGTGAGCCAGGCACTAGGAGGCCGGCCTGGCTGTGCCCCCAGGTTATGCCCCAGCCAATCAGCCCTCGCAAAAACAGAGCCGTCCACGTGAGCGTGAATCTAGTGGATTAGCAGCAGTCTGCTCTGGAATGCTTCTCCAGTTATTTAAATCTGATAGAAGTGAAGCTCATTTTGTTCTGGCCTTTTTTCTCTCTTTCTGTCACAGCATCAAGACATCAGCATTTCTCCTTAGATTTATGACAACCCCCCCACCATGCCTGTAGTGATTCATTGTCCACCAGTGCTGCTCAAATCACGCTGGCACTTGCTTTTCCAGTCGTGAACATGCGTCTCCTGCCATCCCCCTTAATAGCCCAAAGGATGCAGATTGATTCCTATGACGACATTCTAGATTCCTCCACTCATTCAGGATGTATTGGGAACAAAAGTCTGTGTTGGAAACTGAACTGGGGCTACAGAAATGGCTGGAACTGCTTCCAGAGAGCATAAGATTCCCTTCCTAGAATGGGAGATATTTATATAATCAAATAATGCAAATAGTGCAATTTTTTTACTTAAATAGTATACAAATAGAGAATTATGTTGGCACCAAGGACAAAGTAGTGACTTTCGCCTGGAGGAATTTGAGAAGGCGCTCAGGAAGATCTGGGGGATACAGGCTGCCTGTCTTCTCCACCAGCCCTCTCCATGTCTCCTCCCCACAAACGTATTCAGCAACCTCCCCCCAACTTCACAACTTATAGCTGCCTTGCAGACATAGACGTTCTGGAGCTGGTAACATTGAGCTGGGACTTCAACCGTGTCAGAGTGTTGCAGGTGGCCAGGCAGGGAAGAGTACTGCAAGGAGCAAGAACAGCACACGCAATGATACAGAGGATTCAGAGGACAGTTACAAGTCATGGCATTTTTCATTAAGATTTGAGTAAGATAATGTCGAGAATTGATACTGGAAATGAAGTCAAGTGACAGATGGTGAAGATCCTTTATTCTATGCACTATATGCTGAGCAATATAATGTAAATTGCTACAATTTATTATTCACTAAACAGCTCCTGTCACAACATACTCTGAAAAAGAATTGGACGTGTTTATCCCTTTCACTCTTAATCACACAAAAGAATTTCCTTCATTGGCTTGCCAAGGTATAAAATTCTACGAAGTAGAGTCAGTCCTTTCTGACTTTATTTCATTTCTACAAATCTTCCTTCAATGTCTTTAGCTGGGCTAACAGATCGTTAGGAACTAATGACCTAGTGGATAAATTGATGACCCCTGAAGGAGAGCAGCTAAGTCTTGGGAGTCAGGAAGTATCATTGAAGAAGGAAATAGAGACCCAGGGACCATTCTTCAATTTGGCCAAGGGCCAGCTTCTGTTTCTCTTGTCTATGCTGGGAATTGTACCTCTGTACTGAAAACATCTTGTAGTCCTGTTATGAACTAGCACTTCATGCCGTTCTCCTTAAGCCACACCTGAGAGAAACTACAGTAAATGCGGTTATATTAGCTGTAATACAAGTCCTATCCTTGGCAAAGGGAAAAATGAAAACATGCTCTCTCTCAATGTTGATGCCTTCTTTGTAACTTCTCATGTTTTAGTCATTAATTTCAGTCATTTTACAAAATCTGGAAGGCTCCCAAGTACAGAAGCAGCATGTATTAGTCGGGGTTCAGTTGCAGAACACAGAGTCTGCTCTAGCTAGTGTCAGTAAGGAAATATTTACTGCAGGAAAGGAAATGGTTTAGAGATGTGTTGGGGCAGCTGGAGGCACAGACTTCAGATGAGAAGTTCTCAACCCTGTCTCTGCATGGGAATCGGCTGGGGAGATTTTCAAAATATCCATGTCCCGAATTCCCTCCCTGAGATGATGAAAACCACCTGGGGAGCAGGTCTTCATAATTGTACAGCTTCTCTAGGTGATTCTATGTGAGCCAGGTTGAGAACTACTCTTCCAGGTAGAGAATTCAGGATTTCAAGGACAGAATCAGGCCACTGAGGGGACGATTGCTGCTTCTGCAATCAGGAAGATGCTGGCTCTAATCTCCCTGCTCCCACCAGGACCAGCACCATGCAGCTCTAACTCCCTCTGATGCTACAGCCGGCTCCAGCACGAACAGATTACCTGTGCCTGGACATCTGCAAAAGTAAATGGTACTGGAACTTGATTATTGTTAACACAGGAAAACACACACACACACAAACTAGATGCCTCCATGACCAAACTTATAGCAGAATCAGCAAGATTTGCAGAAAAGTGGCTCCACTTTGCCCTCCTAGACCTGGAAGAAATGCATCCCACTGGCTGACCCTAAATAACATGCAGCACCTTATCTGCCAGGAAGCCTGGAACATAGCATTTTTGGCTTTCCCTCCTCTGCAGTCCTAGAAGGAACAGTAGAAAGAGAGGGAAATAGAGGTCAAGCACCAATCCACTTTATCCCAACACAGCACGTGCAGAAATAATTATATTAGATATTTTATTTAAAAAATTGTTATTCTTTAAAATTTACTTTGATGAATAATCAACACAAAGTTTGTAATTTCACAATAGGTTTACCTTGGTACATCAGGAAGCAGAATTGTTTAAACTTACCATCCTCCTTCCACTCCAGCAGGAGCTTGGAAGTCAGAACTACCATCCTCACAACAAGATAAAAGCTCAACAAACTAAAAAACAACAACCCTTCTTATATAAACTAGAGAATAGATAGCAACCTGCTATGGTGAAAAAAAGAGATAAGTGAGCACAGAGACTCATAGCTAACCAGGAACAGAGGCTGCCACTGGAGACAGAAATTGGTAGGAACATTTACATGGTAATTGACAAATTATGAGAGGCTGAATGTGAACTAGATTGAAAGTTAAAAATTCCTGGAGGCCCAGTCTTAAGGGGGCCCCACACTTTCATGAGCCTGACCAAATTCCATGCCAAAGACGACAGAAAAATTCTCTTGTACTTTAAGTAGGGGAAGTGGAAAAGTCGCCATTTTGAAATATGGCCAGAGCATCCTGTTCTCCATGGCAGAAGCTTGTCCTTAGGAGAAAACACTTTGCTGGAACCTTATCTGACCTAGGGTAATGGCAAGGGATGGTTCGAGGCCCCTCTGGCCATCCTATCTCACATTGTTGTAAAATGAAATTCATAAGCTTGGACATTTTTAACTGCACAGTTCAGTAGTGTGAAGTATGTATACATTGTTGCGCAACCAATCTCCAGAACTTTTTCATCTTGTAAAACTGAGCTCTGTACTCATTAAACAACATCTCCCAATTTCCCCTCCCTCCAGCCTCTAGCAACCACCATTCTACCATCTATTTCTATGTCTTTGATGACTACAGATACCTCATATAAGTGGAATCACCCAGTATTTGTTTCTTTGTGACTGGCTTATTTCACTTAGCATAATGTCCTCAACAATCGAAATTACAAATAATCAATTAATGTAACACACTGCAGTAATGGAATAAAGAAAAATAGCCACATGATCATCTTGATATATGCAAAAAACCACCTGACAAAATCCAACATGTTTTCAAGGTAAACACTCTCAACAAACTAGGATTAGAAGTGAACATCTTCAACATCATAAAGGGTATCCTTTATTGAAAACCCACAGTCAACATCATACTTATTGGTGAATGATGAATACTTTCCCTTTAACGTGAGGAACAACGTAAGAATGTGCACTCTTGACACTTTTATCATGCTGAAGGTTCTATTCAGAGCAATGAGGCAAGAAAAAAAAAGGCATCCAGATCAGAAAAGAAGAAGCAAAATTATCTCCAATTATAGATAACATGATCTTGAAAATAGAAAATCTTAAGGATTCCGCTTAAAAACTACTAGAACTCATACAGTATTTGACCTTCTCCCTCTGACTTATTTCACTTTGCATAATACCCTCAATGTCCATCCATGTTGTCACAAGTGGCTGGATTTCATCGTTTCTCATGGCTGAGTAGTATTCCATTGTGTATATATACCACATCTTCTTTATCCATTCATCCCTTGATGGGCACTTAGGTTGCTTCCAAGTCTTGGCTATTGTGAATAACACTGCAATGAACACAGGGGTGCATGTATCTTTACTCATTGGTGTTTGAAAGTTTTGAAATAAGCCTTTACGCTTATGGGCAATTGATTTTTGACAAGAGTGCCAAGAAAATTCAATGGGGAAATAATGGTCTTCTCAACAAATAGTGTTGGGACAACTGGCTATCCACATGAACAAAAAAGATTTGGGACCTTTCTCTCATATCAAATGCAAAAATTTACTCAAAATAGATCCTGTACCTAAATGTAGGAGGTAACCTATAAACTTTTTGAAGAAAACTTAGCTACAAATCTTAATGACCTAAGGTTATGCAATATATGACATGAAAAGCACAAGCGTTAAAAGAAAAAATAGATAAATTGGACTTCATCAAAATCAAAAAGTTTTGTGCTGCAAATGATATGTTCAAGAAAGTGAAAAGACAACTCATAGAATTGGAGAAAATATGTGCAAGTTATATTTCTTATAAGGCACTTGTATCCAGAAAATATAAAAAATTCTTACAACACAATAATAAAATGCAAAGTGCCTAATTTTTAAGAGGACAAACCGTTTGAATAGACATTTTTCTAAAGAAGTCACACAAATGACCAACACACATGTGAAAAGATGCTCTCAAGTCATTAGCCATCAGGGATATGCAAATCAAAACCACAATGAGATATCACTTCACATCTACCAGGATGGCAATAAAAAGACAGTCAAAAACAAGTGTTGGTGAGGACGTGGAGAAATTGGAACTCTCACACATTGCTTGTGGGAGTGTAAAATGATCAGACACTTTGGTAAACAGTTTAAACATAGAGTTACCATATGACCCAGCAATCCACTCCTAGGTATATACCACGAGAAATAAAAACGTATGTCTACACAAAAGCCTGTGCATAAATATTTAAGGTCACGTTATTCATAATAACCAAAAAGAGGAAACAATGGAAACATGATATCATTATCAACTGATAAATTAATAAAGAAAATGTAGTATATTCATACAATGGAAAATTATTCATCAATTTTTTTGATGAATTGTACTGGTACATACTACAACATGGATAAACCTAGAAAATATTATGCTAAGTAAAAAAGCCAGTCACAAAAGACCACATATTGCATGATTGCACTCATGTGAAATTTCCAGAATAGGCAAATCTACAAAGCCAAGAGGTACATTAATAGTGGCCTATGGGGAATGGGGAGTGACTGGTAATGGACACAGGGTTTCCTTCTGGGGTGACAAAAATGTTCTACCACTGATTGTGGTGATGGTTGCTCATCTCTGTGAATACAATAAAATCCATTGAATTATAACGCTAAATGGATGAATTTCATACTATGTTAATTATAACTCAATAAAGCTGTTCAGAAATAAAGATACCATTTAACTGTCAGGGAGGAATGAACGCATTTTTATTAATGCAGGGATTGAGAGAGGATGCAGCCCATGATTCTTATCTGAGGAGGACGCTTAACTATCTTTACTTGAATGGGAACTGGAACAGAATAAATACGTCAGAACAGGGGTAGATAATCAGTAGAGGAGACAGCAATGGCCAGAGACTGCTGCGATAGATACAGTGAGTGGACGGTGATGACGAGACTGGCACTGAGGTGTAAGGTTTCATTATGGCTTTTTGAAAAAGGGAACCTACTATACTGTAAGATAACTTTATGATAGCTCGACAAAAACATCTCTACAAACAATTTCAAGATTTACAAATGTGTATGGCGGGAGAAGGAGGTCTCATAATCAGGTTTTCTGTGTGTGAGGAAGATTAGAGAAGACAATAGGGTTCAAAATGCTACTTTTTGGTGGGGAGAGAAGTGAGCAATAAGCCATCTTAATGAGTTGCCTAATAATTATTTAATTTTTACATCTTAGTAAAGAAATCATCTGTTAAGAATGGAAACGCAAACTGATAGAACTGAAAAGCAAAGTCAGACTCAAAATGTAAAGAATGACGGAACAGAAACATGATGAAACTAGCAAAAATACAAAATGGAAGAAAAAAGGAAAAAAAGACAAAATATAACATCATCATTATAAAATCATATAGAAGGAACAATATCTAAGGTATCAGTTGTCACATTGTCTTTAAAGCCTTCTTCTGCTTGGGGCTAGGGGGCCTTCTTTTATTCAACATGCATTTGTGGAGCATCTGTGATGTGTCGGCCTGTGCTGCCCACTACAGTTGTCACAACCACACCAGGCGTCCACACTGAGATGTGCTGTGAGTGTAGAATACACACCAGCTACCATCTAAAGAAATTTTAATACTGATCACATGTTAAATGATAATATTTAAATATATTAGGTTACATAAAATATATTATTAAAATTAATTTCATCTGTTTTGTTTTTGTTTTTTACTTTTTTAGTGTGTCTAGTAGAAACTTTAAAATGACATACTTGTCTTGCATTATGTTTTGGTTGAATAGTGAGTATTCAAGTACTTTTTGCAGGCTGGGACAAATAAGTTCCCCGTGTAAAAGCTAGATCTTAAATTAGCATGAGGGAAGCCATCTTAGGGAAGGGAAGCAATATTGTGACTCTGACCCTGACTCACTAGTCTCTGAGAATGCACTCTAGCCTGCACGTAGCCTGGATGATTAGCACCTCTCACTTTGCAAAATACATGATCTGCTAGTTCTACGACTCTTGCTCACGTATATCTCCCAGCTGTGAGAAGGATAACTTTGTTCTCTGAGTTCCCCGGGAACATGATGACCTCCAGAAAGAAAAACTCTGTGTTGGTACCTGTCACAAATGACAGAAGAAAAAGACAATGAGGCGCCCTGAAGTTCGTCACACTGGATGAGCGACATCCCTAAACCCCCTCCTTCCCTGCCCATTTCGCCTGTATAACTGCCTCAAGATTCTGTATGACTTTAAGATGGTTCTTTAGGACACTAGTCTGCCATCTTCTGATTATGATGGCTAATCGTATAAACTTTTCTTTCTTAATCACCAACTCATTTGCCATTGATTGGCACTGGGTTTCGGCGAGCAGAACAAGCCCCTTTGTGCTCAGTTACACATGCACTTGGGTATTTTATATTCTAAACAAAAGAAACAAACAAAAACAAAGGAAAGTTTGTGAGCAAGATGATTTTCTAAGCTGATAAGTTGAGTAATGAGAGTAAAACTGTGTGATGTGATAGAAAGGAGGGGTGGGTGCCTCTTGGGTGGAAAGGTTAAGAAAAAGAGGCCTCTTGGAGAAGATGCTGTTGAGTTACAATGGGAATGATGGAGCCATCATGATCTCAGCCCCCCCAGGGTGCTAATCAGAGCCATCTGTAAAAGGGACTTGAACTTTACATTTCTCTGCCAAGTGCCCATAGGGAATTCCCATGCAGTCTGAGGTTGGGCTGTAGGGCAGCTGGCAGTGCCCTAGAGCATCTCGCTGGCACTTCAGCGCCAGCAAGAGGCAGGTCCTGTGTGTAACACGCCTCCTGAGAGTTGGAATGCTGCTGGGCCTACTAAGTGAGACAGAAGGCAATTCATGATGGCCTCCTGAGTCCCTTAGTCACCTCAGGTGTCATAAATAAGCATTCGGTCTCCACTAGATTCATTCATAAGCTAGGAACTGTTTCTCAAAAGGAAAAGAGTCATAACTGACTCAGTTTTGTTAAAAAATTCTGGGGACCTCCACTTTGATTTTCCTATTGAGGCTTGCCCTCAGCCACAGAGAGAGTGTCCATTCTGCTGTACCATTTCTCTGAGGGTTCTGCTTGGGTCAGATGAGCTGGCTGAGTGGTCCCACAGCTGGAGAGCTAATTCTCGCTCAGGGCAACACTCAAATCCATCACCTTTCAGGTCAGAGCAAAACACACAAATGTGGTTATATGCTGCCCCCAAAATAAAAAGCCCAAAGAGGCCTCCCTGGCATTAGTGGTAGGGGGCCCACAGGGATTCTTAGCTCTGCAGAGAATGTCCTTTTAAGTCCTAGACAACGGGACTCCAGGTAACCTCATCAACTCTTTTCATGGGATTTAGCCCCTCCCTCCTAAAAACCCAGGAACATTCTGCACACCGGGTCCTATATATGTAGTGTACCAACATGACAAACTGTGGGATGATGGCGTAGCCAAGGGTGCATAGAGCTGAAGTGTTGACATATCTGCCGTATGTCGATCCACATATAGGATCATATGGGACAGGCAAGCTGCTGTCCTGGTTCGG